TGGCAGATCTAAAAAGTGATCAATCCTCAATGTTTAATTGAAAAAGTTTAAGTAGATTTAAATGTTTACGCAATATGAAATAGCTGAGCCAGTTAGTTGTATGAGGTTTCATCTTTAAATAAACTACGCCATGTTGTTCATTATGATTGATTTCAGGAACTTTTTTAACGTGGAAACTCGTTGATTGACGTGACATGCTAGTAGTCTGTCCTGCTAACGGTATAATTCTTGAATGAGTCTTGGAAGCCTTTGCAGTTTGCATAGTGGTATGTTTTTTAGGGTAAGAGGATTTCTGGTCAACTGACTACTGATTACTTGAAATCGTTATCTGAAATTAAACTGAAACAATTGAAATTTTAGACATTCTTCATCATAAATGAAATAATGTTAACCAATTTTTAAATCCTCGGAAGTTAGAGCCCTTTAAAGTATCAGTTTTAAAATTAACCTGAGGTTCTTAAGGTTTTCTTGGAAAATTACTCCGTTTTTTACTGTTGTAGAAATTCAAATGACCCATTGTTTACTTGAAATTCAATATCATTTAAAAAAATGCAACTGGTCCTGGGTACCAAGTTTTTAGGATATATGTATATTGAACTCTGTATTGAACTTGCACATAATATGGTTGATACATTTCTTGATCTTTTACTGCTTAGCAAGTTGAAAAAGGAATTTTTGACTAATGCTGAACAACGTTTCTTACTGTCTGCAATGTCACTGACTGACTGAAAGCACATCTGTGCCCCTCTTACGATAAAATGATTTATGGCTCTTACGATAAAATGATTTATGGCTGTGCGTCGGTTAGGGTAAAATGTCACTCATTGCTGATTGTTTCAGAGAGAAGAACCTTCACAGTGGCGTCTAATTGAGACACATATATTTCGCTACTTACTGCCAGACTCAAGCACAGACACAGTCATTTATTTGTATTTTTTGTTTTTTTGCCGAACTGAAATGATCTCTCCAGTATTAGTTTGCAATTACTTTTGGCAGTAAAGAATAGATATTCCATCGCATTTAAATTATTTTGATCAAAATGTATTGATTAGTCGAATTATCATGTTTCGATGTGTTTCAGTTGATTGGACGAATTCAGCCTCCTATACGGTCTATAACAAATATATATCTGAATCTCAATGACTCTATCTACTAACCTCAAATTTGCCACGGAAATGTTTGATTCATTTCTCAATGGTATACAAGATGCGGACGAATAAAGTCGATTTATCAACATGGCTATGATACGGAAACATTACCCCGCAAGATAAAGCTGTTACCTCTAAAGGTAAAAATATGTTTGGAGTTGAGGAAGGTATATTGCTTGCAGTGTAGGGGACGTGTGAGAGCGGTGGACCATCTGGCAACGCAGTGCAAGAAATATTGTATTCATAGGCACTTTTTTGCTTGCTTTTGGCTTGCTTTATTCAGGGATTTAGTTCTACCACTTGTGTTGGTGAATCACACGTACACATTACTCTAATTTTTTTATCATTCCTGTTGGTTGCATATGAATGAGACTCAATCTATTCAAATGTATAATAGTTTGATTTTTATTCAAATATTGGGCAATTTTCACGTTTTATGCGCGTTTCTCTGCTTTACATTATCTCATAGTTCCATGTGATTATTTTAAAACAATCTTCGCGCCTGTCTTTTACACTTTGTCAGTATTGTTGTGATAAGCAGATCAAATCAAGCAGTCAACAATTTATCACATAAAGCTTTATTCAACGACTGTTCCCTGATTTTCAATCACTGATTATGATCATCAATCGCATCTTATTCAGTCTATTAAATAATACTACTATTTTTGCGTTATGCAAAAGCATGTAAAAATTTCACTTAAAAGTCCTAATCACTGTGATTTTGATGAAAACATTTTTTTCTAATTTTTCCAATGGTTTGTAATGATATATTATTAAAAAGAATAAAATGCAAAAAAAAGAAAACTACAGCAACTTGTTCGTTCAGTGTTTGTCACTGTCCATATTATTCAGCAAATAAAATTGACGATGGCATGTCAGGTTAAGCCTTCGTGCGGTTTTTCAGGTACTGTAAACATTTTATGATTGACCATATGGTTTTGTAATTGATATTGATGGAGAAAAATCTTATGACATATTTTACACGATAAAGGTTCGTTTCCAGTATGCTCAGAGACGTGTTGAATGAGAAGATCATTTTGCACAAAACACTGCGAGCAAATTTTACATTTAAAAGGCTTTTCTCCTTCATGCAAAAGCACCAAATGGTTCTTCAGGCTACTGTTCCTTGTAAAAGTTTTAGTACAGCGATGACAATGAAATTTTTTTCCAATATGTTTAGACATGTGTTGTTGTAAATTGCTTCGGCTTGAAAAAAGTTTCATACAAAATTCACACCAAGCGGACTTTACACATGTAGGCATGTGCGTATAAAGTTGGCTTTGGAAAGTGTGCATTTGCTTGTAGCAAGCACATTTGCGTAGATTATTTGTCACTTTCGAGCTTGCTTCTTCATCCATATCATTTTTAGTTTGGAGAAGTTGAGCTAAAGCATCATTCATGCGTGCTGTTTCCGTTTTTTCTTCTATTTTAAGCTCATTTAAAAATTGCTGCAGTGGTTGTTTGTCAGGTTCTTCACCGGAATTTCTTGCTGCTATGAAATTTTTTTCCGCATTTCCACTTACTTCATTATCTTCTAAAATTTCTGAACTTTGTACGGAAAACAAATTGTGAGCTTTATCTACTTTTATGGAAGCTAGCCCATTTTTTCCAGTTTTCTTAATTGACAAATCCAAAGGCTCTGTTTGTGGTGTTGGTATTGAATTCACTGTTAATACCTGTAAACAATTTAAAATGATGGTTGAAACGAAATAAAAGTTGAAATTGGTTTTTTTAAAAGAAAATTTTGCTTAAAATTAACTTTTTAAGTAAACAAACCATTATAAGGTTGAAACAATTCCAAGCCAGTATGTTAAGGTTGATCATTATGATTGATAATTTTAATCCGCAGCAACTACCGAACCTGAATATATTTTATCATTGAAATAAAGAGGGAATCAAGCACAATTTGGTATATAGATTGAAAAAAGCATAAAATAATTACTTAAAAGGCTAAAGGGAGATATTAGTTGAGTTATGGAGTTTGACCGGAAATTTGGTGTTTTTATGGGTGTTGTTGGTATTTTAGTCAGTACTGATCTTTGCTGTTTTAATCCGTCCATAGTACTGCTACACACTGCATTTTTTTGACTATATTATGCATTGTAATGAAAATATAATTTTTCTCCCAAAAATTTCTTCACTTTTGAGTGAAATTTAAGCATTTTGAGTTTTTATAGTGTAGATCATTACATTTGACCTTTCTTTTGGTCATTTATCTGAAAAGAGACTGACGATGGATTGTGAAGTTGTTTGATACATACAAAAAATGAATGTATAGTATTTGTAAAATTAACTACTACTCAGAGTTAGAAAGCTCAAAAAACTGTTTAGACTAAGGAATTTAGTCGTAGAAAAGATGCATTTTAGAAAACAATTCTTTGATAAGAGTTAAGTTAATATTTCCTATATGAATTATTAGAGAGAGTTAATACTTTGTGAACTTTATGTCTAGAAAAAATCATGATAAAAGACATTTAAGAGGTGAATTCGTATTCGAAAATTAAGAAAATGTGAAAGAATGTTTTCTTCATCCTTTTGTATACAATTGCTAATTATTTTAAAGGATTACTAAAAAAGTTGAATAATTGACAAAGCAAATATTCAGATTGGTAAGAAGCGTTAAAAGGATGAATTTTAGATAGATCAGACAGTACTTACATTTTATACTTTGATATCTATATGACCTCGATAATAATCAATCATATTCTGCTTGATTAAGTAACAATAAAATGAATTTTTACCACTACTATTGATCTTTGATAAGCGGAAGAGTCATTTCAATGCTTAATACCTAATACAAGTTTTGATACATATCACTAATCTTCATATTTTCTCATCATATCACTAATTTTTTTAAAATACATTTATGCTAGTGTAAATGGTAATTTTCAAAATTGATCTTTCACTATAAATTATTTTTATAGAAAACGAGTTATCTAGAAATACTTCCAAATTTTTATTGCAAATTTCGTATAAGAAACAATAATGTATTTGAAAAGTAATCAAAAAAAGAATCCTTGTCTAATTATAAAATTTCGCTGGCAAAGTTGGCGTTTACTACTTTTTTAAACATGAAAATCGAGCAGTATTCTATGTATGTGAAGCATGGTATTATTAAATAATTTTATTACCGTTTATTATTTCAGAAGCAATAAAAATGAATACTTAAACAAAAATGAATGCAGAAAAAGTGACATTTGTATTCGAAAGATGAAAGTTCATTGCAAATTCAATTGGCACCAATACTATTAAAATAAGTCTGTTTGTTACCAAATAGTATTAGTGTAAAAATTTGAATAAATTTGCTTGCTATTTAATCTTATTAAGAGATACTAGAAAAAAATATGCATAATCTGGTTGAAAATTTTTTCCGTTTTTATGAATGCATAAAGCGTAAAAGTATAATAATACACTTCTGAAACATTTTAGCAATAACCACAAGTTCGTGGACATTCTCGTCTCATCAGTGACAGGTACAGGGGATCTCGGCATAGGTATGCAACAGAAGCACAATTTGAGGTTCCGCTGCTCCCAACTCTGTCAACGCATGCTAAAAATGTATTCGTTAACTTTTCAAATATTATTTGCCAAAAATGGTAATTTCCACAACATCGAAAAAGCTTATCTGAATCAAGCATTTTTTGATATTTCGTACAGCATGATGTTACTGTATTTTAAAATCTTTCAATAATAGCTGATCTTTTAACTCAAATAATTTTGAATCTTATTTTCCATTCATCTTTTTGTGTGTTAAAACTAATGACTTCATGTTTCCTTAAATATCTTGTAATTACATACTTGAATTTTGATTCTGACCACCGCAACGATTACAAGTGCGTGGGCACTGTACTGTCATAAGATTAAAATACAAAGGATCATTGCAAAGATTTGCTCTTAATGGACAATCACTTGGACGTCCCGGTGCACTCAAATCGACACATGCAGGAGAAGTGGCTAGAATAAATTTAAAATGCCTTAAGACTTTGCAGATATTCATTTCCTCTAAAGTTAGCTCAGAAGGCTTCTCATTCAATCTGAAGACAACTTTTTTGATGCAAAGTGCATAAAATAAATGCAACTTGTACTTGTCGTTGTCGTACTGGAGGTTACTGTGCCTCTCGTAGTAGTAGGCACGTTTAGATTCAGACAGCTACCATTGATGCAAAGAAATCCAGGTGGGCAGATTCCGCCAATACAAGCTGTCAAATGGAATCATTTATAATTCAAATTTTTTAGCTCTTTTGGTGATTATATTCGAATAATTAATTGACACTAATAAGTCATTCTGCAGAAAGTAAAAATACTGAAAGAGTAAACTTTTTGTAAGCATAAGAACAATCTTAAGTTTGGCTATCAAGTTTATTTCATCGTTCATTGATTTACGTGACTGATAAGCTTAATGCATAAGGACTGTTTACTTTGTATGGGAAAATGCAGCTTTTGTTTTTTGCATATGTAATGCTACAATAAAAATTATATTTACAAAAAATTTGTCACTCTCAGTAATAATTTTAATTTTGCATTTTTGATATGCTTTAGCTGTTATAATTTTTCTTTTTAGGTAAATTTATGCAGCTGTAAGGCAGTCTTGAATCCGTCAGATCGTAAAGGCAGATGAACTTACGACCAATATTTGGGTAACACTGTTGCAGAAAACAGAGACTATTTGCTGGACATCCCGATGTCGTCCCTTCTTGACATTCTAAATTTAAATAATAAGACCTGACAAAAATTAAAATTCACACTGATATTATTAAAAATTTACACCTGCAATTCTAGACAATTATTCAAACTTGAACAAGTGTATGTGTTATTAAGAAGTTAGTTTGAACTTAATGACATTAGCTATTAAAAGCAAATAACTATCATACCCGCAGCAATATCTCTGACAAAAATTGCAGCTAATAGGAAAACGGTAAGGCAAAACATTTAGTGTGTGGATGGATATTGTGATGAACTATGACTTGATACTAAAATTTGCTGCAAACAAATAAAAATTTATAGAGATTTATGTATTTGAAAAAAGATCTTCAAGCTGTGCTAATATAATTTTTACATTTTTTTTGTTTACACAACGAACAAATTTTTTGTTGTACCTTTGCCATTTTTATTTCATTTCAATAAAAACAACAATATTCGGTGAAATCATTCAAAAAAGCATATTCATGTGAATATTTTTAGCCATTGCAATGATTGAATAGTCCAAAAAATGCAAACAAAAGTATTTTTGCCATTTGAACAGTTTTGGTAGAAAATTTTAATAGCTGAAGATTTTTTCATGTATGAATCAAATTAAGACTCAGAAATCAAAACTGATTCATAATTACAAACCAGGCTTTTGTCTGAATTTGCTGTGATTGTAATTGCCTAAGACTGACTGACTATCTAATGACTGAACTTTATGACTTAGTTTTGATATATTTCAATACTTTTGATTTTCTTCAGCATTTCATGACCTTACCTGCCACTGATATTAATCAGTTACTTACTATTAATCAGTTTTTAATTTTAAAGTCATAATTAAACTTCACAATCAAATACGTTATTTCAGTTTCATTGCAAAATTGTTAAGTCACCAAACAATAGCAAACTACACAAAATTAAAACAGTTTTTCTTCGAATTAGTATTTAATAATTATATATTGTCGGAAAAAACTGACTATTTTTTAAAATTCTTCTGCCAAAACTTAATATTTATAGTCAGTCAGAAGGAGAAAATATTGGCGAAAATTATGTATTAGCATTATTAAATTTTAACTTTGAAAAACTTACAAGAAAGTGTATAATAATTTTTTGTAAGTTCTAAGAATCTTTTTTGTCAGTTTCTTTTCGATTACTTTGATATGTGAAACTTCAAAAACTGTGGATTTCTGGATTTGGTAGTTTAATTTGTAATGTCATCACTAAAAGGAAGTTTAATAACTACAGTAACAGAATTTCAGTAAAAACACCGTGTGTTCACCATATTTTAATTTTTCATAACTTTATTGTTGTGCTATAACAAAAACAAATTTGTTTGTTCATAATAATAATAATAATAAATATGTAAAAATATCATAGAAAATTTTTGCAAAACTTTATCTTGTGCTGCTTATTTTGCTAGTAGCATTTGTACAGATTGCAATGTAATATAACTTTAAAGCAATTTTCAGAATCTACAACAAACAGATACACAAAATCATGGATATTTTATTTGCTTTAATAGCTGCGTGTAAAATTAATCTCAGATTTACTTGATTCTAAATGCTATTTTCAATAATATATCGATAATAAATATTCAAACTTTAATAGTATATTACTTTGGCAAAGATGCGTTCAGTGCATTAATTAAAAATTAAAGTCATTTTTGTGTGCACAAGTTGAGAAATGAAATATTTAAATGAAATTGACTACAATTACATAGAAGATACAAAAATTTGATTGTTTTCAATTATCAGCTTTATTATAAGTAATAGGTAGGGAAATGTCTTTGCCAGTATAGCGACCCATGAAATAAATGGTTGGGCGAAAATCACCAATCGCAAATATAAACGATTGTTCGATAACGATTTTACGACTATTTCTGGAAGCATTCACATTTTCATCTTTGTTTGGGGTCATTGGCCATTCTGGATTATAAATCCCATGCTCGTTTACCTAAAAATTGCTGACTGTAAATTTTTTAGCAAATTAAATTCTTCCATAGAATGAACATATATACTACTGAAATTTCTGCTAGCAAATCTATATTCTTGTTACTGATGATTGAATTTGTTTATTTTTGAAAATAAACATTTTCAATTGTGATTTTGGTTTCAAATTAAAGTTTCAATCGGGTTAGTTTCAAATTGAATTCTAATTTAAATCAAAAAATGAAAAATGTTTCGAATAAATTTCAAACTTTTATATGAGCCACCGCGCGAACTGGGTTTTGTAAACATAATTGTTCATTATCATTATCATAATAATCGCTGTTTTGATCACAGAGTGCAATATTTCTATCTTTCAAATAAGGACCTAATTCAATAACGTTCCTGATTTCAAACATTGGCATTGTAACCTGAAATTAATTAAAGCTATTTTTAAATTTTTCAAATGAGATGCTTTATGTTTTCAGAAATGCAAGTTCCAATGTTTTTGAAAGTATGTTATCTCTAATAAAAACTTGTCACAAATAAGACTAAAATTTTAAGCAAAATTATGAGATTTATTTTTGATAAAGTGAAAAAGATTTAGTAAATATACCTCAATTGCATTTGTAATTGACAATGTTTTAATGTATTGATGTAATTTATTTCCTGTAAGTTTGCTTTCCAAGTTTGATAAGTTTCCTTTTCGTGGTATTATAATTAGCATAAATTTTTTTTCACTCTCAAATGGTAAAGCGATGATTTTTGCTTCTTCAGTTTCTGCATATGCTAATTTTTTTGCTACTGTTTTCATCATTCGAACCTGAACTAAAATAGTATGCTTTTCAAATATACTGATTTTATAAAAAATCATATTATGAATGCATTAACGTTTGGATTAGTTTTTTGGTAATATTAATAATTACTTACAAAAATATTTTACCTTTTCTACTTTTTTATCTGAAATTCGAAAAACACTCTTCATTCTTAATAGTTTAAACTTGTAAAGCCATTTAAGTCCGCAATGAATTTCGAAGACACTAAACAGTAAGCTGCTATCATTGAAAAATATCACATTTCTTGTTCGGTGCTCTGTACGATTTTTTATCCATTCGCCAATATGCTATAATTTTTAAATTTATTTAACTAAAAATTAAATCAAAAAAAAATTTTTTTGAAAGTTTTGAAATAGTAAAAATATTTTAAATGTACTGGCTGAATCTGCTTTTTTTGCTGTATTTGAAGAGATTTTTTAAACATTCTTTTTGATTAATTACTTATTTTTAAGCTTGTAGAAATATTAGCTTTAAATAATATAAGTATTTTGACCATACAGAGGCACTAATTGTATACATATTTACTACAACATTTGCTATTGTCTTTTGATGGCATACAAATAATTGTAAAAATACAAAAACAATCATTTTATTTTGTAAGTAATAAAGTAGCGATAAATTTTTTTAGTTATGAATTTATTTTATTTTATTTTGTAATATTTTGATGAATATATTTTGCGATAAATTTTTTAGCTTATATTTCAAAAACTTTGAATTTTGTAGCTTTTAAATTAATTTATGCTATTATTTTAAATAATTAAATTTATAATTTTAAAAAGCTAAAAAAAATTGCCCATAAATTAATTTAAAACTACAAAATAGCATTACTGTAAAAATAATATTTTTGCTTCTTTTCTATAAAATAAAAATTTAATACATTATAGACTTGAAATCGGAAGTGTTGTATTTTCTGCATGAATAAGTATTATTGCTATTATTTTAAATAATTAAATTCATGATTTTAAAAAGCTGAAAAAAATTGCCCATAAATGATTACTTTCCTAATTTCGTCAAGTTGTTGATCTGAGCTATAGTCAATAGAAATCGTATTGCGTACATCATTATCATGTGTCCTTCCATCAGTATTTTCTTCAAATGCAAGGTAGTCATTCATCAAATGTTGACTTCCTATGCCAATTTCTACTTTGTCAGCATTTTCTTCAAATCTTCTATTTGCCATTCTTACATAATGCAACAATTTTTCTTTTGATTCTCCTGAAATCATTGAAAAGAAGCAGAATTACAATAATTAATTAAATTAAAATTTTATTAAAAGAATTTTCATGTATTACTTTTAATGCTTTGGTTCTTAACTGTTCATTAATTTTGATTAGTTTTGTTTTAAAGTTCTCAGTTTCATACAAAGCAATATATAATAATATTACAAGCTGTTTGCTTTTTGAATATTTCTAATATGATTTATAAATAAAATTCACTAAATTAATGAAATAGATTAATTACCTTTAGCAAGCAAATTATTTAGTTGATTCTCAGAATCTCCAGTAGTCCTTTCATAAAAAGTCGAAAGTGCACTAGTAATTGCAAAAGGTGAAAAAAACGCTGGTTCCACGGAATCTGGAAAGCGATCTCGATAAATGTCTAAGGCTAGATCCAACTGGATTTTTGTCATATCTCTGAAATTTTTATCTTAGCATTAAAAATTATTGCAGTATATTAGAATGGCTAATAAAATATTTGAATAAAATGCTAACACAGTAAAAACTGGCATATAAAGTCAATACTCTGAATTGCAATTAAAATTTTATCATTAAGTAATCCTTATTAAATCAATAAATCTTTATGTGACATTGAGTTTTCACGGTATCATTTATTGATTGACATTTTGTTATTAATAATATTTTATTTGCCAAATAAACGAATGAGTAATATTCAACCAACCTGTCATTTTGAAGACAATGCCGAAGTAGTACTGATGACAAGAGAACTGTAATTATCGATAATAGCATTTTGATTACAAGTCTGAAAATACTGCTAAATTTTAATATTAAAGTTAATTGGCAATGTAAGTGCTACTAATGCTGCAAAAAAAGTTTACAACAGTGGAAATTTTTTTTGCTAAATACAATCTTAGCATTCTAAATTTGTTTGTATTTGAATATTTGCTTTATTTAAAATCGTTTTTTCATTTATTTAAAAAAAAGAGTTTGTTACAAAAAATAATTTGCAAAATTTTTACGACAATTATAATTATTAAATTACATAAGTAATTATCTTTCAAGTTTTCCGATTTCAGACACACAAAATGTCATATAAATAATTCTGTCGAAATGATATCAAAATTAGATTTCTATGATAGCAATCAAAAATGAGTAACTTTCTTGAGTTCAATACTGTTTAAAAAAGTTGTAAAATTTTTTGAGCAGTGGACGGAAGTTATGATGAATGATTAAGCAGAGGGGATCTTTACTGTTACTGTTTTATAAAGATTGTTGAAGGTGAAAAATTAATATGCTACGCTAATCCTCTTTTTTCCAAAATATGCATAATCTTCAAACAAACAACTCAATAGTTTGCTATTTTAGTTTCAGTTGCATAAATTGACTGCACATAATGTTACTACTGTAATGCCTGCAAATTTTTTGATGCAAATTTTTTCATTAATTCAATTACAATGCATATCAAAGATCGCATTGGATAATTTTGTAAAAAGTGTGACAAACAAATGCAAAAAATGCTAGTAAAATTTAATCTTCGACTGCTGCAAAAATGCAAAGTTTGATTTTTTTTTTTGCTTTATTATTATTTGATGAAAAAATAGTATTGCTGGCTGCATATTTGTGTATTTTATCAATGCTTTAATTTTTAAAAAAAGATACTGTCACTGTAGTGATGAAGTTAACAAGACATATTTTAATAAGATAAATGATTATTTTTTTGACCAATAAATGACCTTTTTGAAGTTTATCTCTCTTATGCACTACAGTGTGGTCAGTTATTACATCTGTGTACATAATCAGATATTCTTTTTATGACCGCTGATTCAACTAGAGATCAATTCCGAAGGTCAATAATTTAAAAGGTCATCAGTGTTCTTGCTTATCAATTTGTAAATGTCAAAATGAATGGCGTAGAAAGCAATGAGTCTAAACTTTTATTCGATGAATCGTAAATTGTTCGGAAATTTCAAGCCTCAAACTTTGTGACTGTCTTTTTACTATGCAAGTTATTACACTTTGGAGTTATATTTATGTAATTTATTACTTGTAAAACTCTTTTAGTAACTTTGAATGCTTTTTGTAAATTTGTAACTCACGTAGATGTTTAATATAAAATATGCTTGCTCTTGCAATTGCATAAATGCATCAATCAGTATGGAATTTTTTCAAGACGGAAATAAGGATAAATTTATTTTTTTTAGGTATTTCACTTTAATGAATAAAATTTTCAAATACATAATGAATATTTTATGTTCTTCAATCGATGGTACAACCAGGCTTTGCTTTTCTGCACAATACCACGCAAGTATGGACTGCTGGACCTACGTAAACCTTTTCCTCACCTCCGTAGCCAACAGTTGCACGCTCATTACGAATATCAGCCTGAAATGTATTCTCAGTTGTAATTTGCAATATTAAATATTAAAGATTTTAAACAAGTCGAGTTGCTTTCATACCTTGCCGAGAATCTCTTTACCATCGATTATCAATACGGCTGGGGAGATATTACCCTTGTGCTGGTCCACGTGTACAGGAATCCACTCCTTGGTACCGAAATCAGCAGCTTCTTTGAACGGCTTCCAAGCATAGTCGAATCCACGAATTTGCTCTGGTAATTCGAACAAAATTTGAATCGAACCAATATTGTTGTGATACTCATGGCCACCCCAACCAAAGCATGCGGCGATTTTGCCTCCATCGTTCCAAATACGACCCATTACGGGCTCGCCAGATTGGTACCATAACGCTACGTATTGATCTGGATTCTCGTTTGGCAAAGTGTTGAGAGATCTGAAAACTTTCACGTAAACTTGCATGCTGTTGATTGCACTTTAGTAAAAGTACCTGTTAAGAGCTTGAACAGGTTTGCCAGTCGTGGGCCATGGATCACCACAACGAAAGTCTGCCCATTCATTCAGCGTTACACGTACGACTGGTTTAGGTGGTCCACTAGAACACTCTTCACACGTACAACTTGGTGGCCCTCCCTTTAGTTCACGCACAATGATGAGCATATCAGATAGTGCCCCTCCTGACAGTTCTTCTACTTTTCCGTCATGTGAAAAGCGAGCTGGAAATGAGATTGCATGTAAAAGTTATACTTTTGAACCATAGTAAAGTTATAAATTCAATGTTTGAACAAACAAGTGATTGATCAAAGTTGTGTTCGCTTCCTACCGATTTCAGTTTTATTGTCCACGTAGCCAAGCAGCGATCCTTCCTTGCGATCTTGCCAGAAAATAGGAAAAGAATCGCCACAGTGTAACAACTCAGCTCCTTTTTCGAATTTGTCGAAACGATCTTTGTATTTGATCCAGTTGTACCAAAAACCCAAACTTAAATGGTTGCCTTTGTATTGCAACACCTGAAAATATTCTTGTCAGTTTGAAACTTTATTTAGATTGATCAAATAGTGTGGGGTGCACCTGGATTTGCCCACCGAGGTCTTTAGCTCCTGTCAACTCGGCTTTGATGTATGGGAAGGAACACTCAATAACACCACCGTTGTTCCATGCTCGTCCGTGAATTGGCTTACCGTGTTTGTACCACAGGGCCACATACATATTTTGCTGACCTATGGCCCGAACGGGATTGTCAGGAAATGGTGAGCCTATGGGTCCAAATGCCCAGGTATCTTCTTTAGCCGCAGGGTTTGGCATTGCTGGCTAGCGACAATAAACTTTTTTTCGTTGCAAAATCTTTTAAATCCACTCAATTTTTTTTTGCTTATTAAAAATTTGGGAATTAATTTTATGCAGATTTTTTAATGCCACTTTATGCAAAAATTCCTTTACGCAAATTTAAGACTTTTGTAAAGTGGACAGAATGTTTTGATTTTTAAATAGTTTAAGATATCCTCAAAATATTTTGAACAAAGCATTTTCTTTTATTTTAAAAAATTAAAATGTATTATTTGAAAGTTTTTATAAAGATCAAATTTGCAGTTCTTAACTGATTCATAGATTTATCAAAGTTTTACAAATTTCATTAGCAGCATTTTGTTACAATGCCAAAAATAATTTATCTTTTTATATGCCAAATTTTTTGCAAAATAGGCACAGTAATCGAATGGAATTTGAATAAATTCGAATAATGTTTCAAGAATTATTAAACGACCAAAACGATTTCCATTCAAACTTGCAGTGTTATTTGGTGCTGAAAATTTACAACAAAATTGTATTCATACAGTTTGCATATCATTTGTTATTACTTTATCACAGCAAACTTCTGTGTTTAATGTAAAAAGTTTGTTTGCTTACTTTTTTTGAAAATTGCATATCATAAGTAAATAAATAAACTGTGCAAACATAAAATTTAAAGCAATGCAAAGTTAATACATTTTGTTGTCATATCAAAAATTCATTCATATTTACTTAATCAGAAATCAAAATGTATCTATTGTTTGAATTAAAATCCTAATACTGATTTCCAGTTTCCATTAAACATTAGTCAGCTAATTTTCCGTGAATACGTCGATTATTAAACATATTCATATTTGCTAACTGTTTTCAAATACATTTTTATTAATTGGCACAAGCAAATACTTGAAAGTTAGATAAATATTCTTTTAACTTTCTAATTTTGACAACATTTACATATTTACTATTACTTTCAGAAAACGATTAGTTACTAATTTTAGTAAAAGTAAACAAATTATAGCACTGAAGTAATCAATTAATTAAGGTAATAAGTTATGTTTAAATCTGTATTTGGCTTTAATAAATAATAATTATCATCAAATCAGAATAATATTACTGTTCATGTGCTTGATTGAACAGTGAGGCAGATTTAAAAATGCATATATTTTATTTTTATTTTATTCTATCCTAGATATTTGGAATTACATATTTATGGCAAGTTTTCTGGTATACAGTAGCAGTTTTCAGTAATGTAATATTTTATAATATATCATAGTTTCATTTCACTCTACTTAGAACTTGAGGAATCAGTTTCATCGGCTAGCGTTGAATCGCTCTTATTAAGTATACCAGTTTGTTCAGGATCCTGAAAATCTTTATTTGAAACCATACTAACCTTTAATTAAATTATAATTTGAAATCATTAAAAATTTGATTTTTGTGCTTGGCACTGGATCCTGAAAATAAAGATTTTAATTAATTATCATTAGATTAATCGAGTTAGACCATATGACAATTAATGGTCTAACTCGATTAATCATAATAAAAACAAAATACGCAATCTAATGATAATCAGATGTTTATGGACAGCAGAAATCAACGATATTGTAGAAATATGCAATTAACGATAAAATATTTCAGTAATATAACCTCAAGTTGGTATTAGTTTAAAAAGATTTAACACTGTCTTGTAAAATTAAGAACTTACGTCCGTCGTTTCCTGATGCACATCAGTTCCAGTTTTGCCAAACGTAAGATTATATTCATGTGCACTGAGCATATCACCAAAACCGTTTACACTTGACTTATCACTTAAACTTTCATTAAGTGATTCCATTTTGGCATGAGACTGCACTTCAGAATCAGTTTTACTTTCAAACGAAAATGAATTCATCAAAATACGAGCATCTTTACAAATATCATCCGCTGAAATGTTTATCGATATAAATTTTGCTAATAAACTGCAAAATATTCAGCTGAATAAAATTTTGATATAAATATTGAATAATTAGATAAAATTAATAATCTGCTGCTAACATTGTTTGACAACATTGTTCAATGTAAAAATCATAGCAGTTGCTTCCTCAGTTAAATTTCTACTCGATTTAATTTGTGCTTGAAATTTGCGCACGTAAACAGATGTAAAAGGTATATGCTCATCGGTTTCCATGTGAAATTTATGAGCTGAATTTTGTCGATCTTTTAATGCTTCAGTAAGTGCTCTGATCACATCTGTGACACCCTTTAAATTGATAATTATGCTTAATAATTTTTAGAGTTTTAATTAATTAAAAATTAATTACCGAAAATCTGCCATTTAACTTATTTTCTCTTTTAATATTATGAAGTATAAAAAAGAAAATATAATAATCTTATTCAACCTCACATTGTTTCTTCAAATGTTCAAGAGTACTGTGTAGTCCATGAAGTGATCTAAGCGTATCTTCACCACAAATTTTCATATTTTCAACGGCCTAAACATCAGAATCATTTTTAAAAATAACAAGAAAATTTTTAAACTATATTTTAGTACAAATTATATAAAAAATTAATGACTAATACCTTAGACATTTCCGCATTTGTGCAAATCATGTCTGATTTAAGCTTAAAAATAATTTCGCTGGCTACCACCCATTGGTGAGATTCATTGCTACATTTACCTGAAAAGCAGATAAAATTTGGTATAAAATTACTATTTTTAAATAATCTAATTGTGATTTCAGATTTAAGTGCTAAATGCTTCAAAACTACTATTATTGAAATACGATACTTTTTATTGGCATCAGATTTAATTTTTAAATATTGAAAAAATTTAATATACATTGATAGATTATTCAAACTTCTTGCAAAAGTATTAATATTTGATGTTAACTAAATATTAACAAATATTATCATGGCTACACATAGCAATTGCAATTCAACTGATCGTACTGATTGATGATAATTTGTTTGACCACAACTGATGACTAACAAAAAGTTATCAAAGGGTATCAGTGGTAATGAAGAATTAATCTTGTTGGATTCAAATTAATTAAGTGACCAATGCATAAAGCGCACAAAATTTTCTCGCATTTAGTACACCACAAATATAATGACGCAGATGTTTGAGGTGAATACAGGTTACATTTCTCACACTGCCAGTCGGGTAAAGTTGAATCCTAGATCGAACATGAATTATATTTAAAATTGGCTTTAAAAATTTTTGATTTCATGATTTTACTTTTAAAATAACTTTAAAAAATTTGTTTCAAAAAAACACAATTTTATTGATTCTTCATAAAATTAAATTTTATCATTCAAACTTCTAATAAGGATAGAATTTTGAGATTATGAGATATTTTAGTTGAAAAAATTTAACTTTAAAAGTATTTAGCTATTTCCATTTCAAAAACTTGCGATTTCAGGTACAGGTGTTCAGTACTTGAATACTTAAATACTTAATTTTTTGTACTTCAAAAGTTTGAATGCAAAGTTATTTAGCTCAAATAATGAAGAAATTGTAGTGAATCAAAATTTTTCGAATCATTTTGTTGCTTCGCAGTAATTGTTTTTGATTACAACTAATTACTTCGCAATTTATAAATTATTTATGATCACATTAATTATTTTTGTATTATACAAAGAATTGTGTACCCGAAACTGAGACTAAGCTTGAATTAAAATTATAAAAGCAAGTGACGTAGAATTAAGACCTGTGAGCAACTCATTACAGGTTTGCAATCAAAAAACTGACAAATTAGGTTGTGATAAGCCTACTAAAGTTTACAAATTACAATGATGTAAATTCAGTTTTGCAGTGCTTTTTAATTGAATAATGTATGTAAATTTATTGTGTCATTCAAAAAAAAAAAAGCAAATTTGAAGTAGATGAAAAAATTTCAGCTGATTTCTATTATTTTTATGAAACTTAATATTCTAAAAAAATCAAATCAAAACATTGAGCTTACAAGTCTGATTTCATCTTAACAATCAGATTTTATGTCAACAATTGATTATTAGAAAATTCGTGATTTTGTGCTTAGCAATGGTTTATGAAATTATATCAAATTTAGATAAAATTTTAAGTTTAATATGATTGAAAATTAAAGATTAGAATGGTCACGAACTTTTTTAATAAACATTTGAAGATTAATAACTCAGACTATTCTATGTTTTATGTACTGTAATTTTTTACATTGTCCTTATGACAGTAATAGTAACTATCAAATTTTTCAAATTTAAATAAATAATGATAATAATTAGCAGCTTTAAATCTCATCCAAATGTGAGATAAATATTACTCATTAACGGTTTGGTTTTTTTTTGGAATAA